TGGCGCCACGAGCAGTACGCCGCAGTGGGGATCAAATATATATGGCCGCCGAGTGTGAGCTAAATCTCGAACTGTGGCGTTTCTTTTTATAGAATCTTACCGGGCTGGGCCACGTTGTGGGGGTGGGCGGGGTGGGGGAATGCACGCAATACTTTTTTTAAAATTGAGTATCTCGGTCTTTCTGCTGGGGTATTGTATCCCTCTCAACCTGGGTTGGCCTTGGCAGGTAGTGCCGGAGCCAGCCTCTTATGAATGTTAATGATCTAAATTGTGTTGCTGGGGGCATAAAAGCACTTTCATTCAAATTTTTTTTAAGGAACTTAACTGTGAAAACTTCGGTCCACTGCAGCATCATATCGGTTCTTACACTTAAATACAACACAGGTGCAAGGCATTTTTACTAACTGACTTACCTAATCTCAAGGACCTCGGAATAAAACCTTCTTTCTTATCTAGATTTCAGTGCGCAAGTCGGGCATTCGCTCAGCGCAGGCAGACCACAGTTCCGCCAAGAGAGAGGGCTCCTATCAGGTGTGCAGTGCCGCCCACAGAGCATCCTCCATTACTTTTAATCTCTTTGGGTTCAACAGTATAATAATAGTGGGTGTTTCACGAAAATGGGCTTCTGTGGCGATCACCCAGAAAGTTCCTCCTTTTTTAAAATTCTGAGTGCCTAGAACATTTTTTTGTATTTTTTAAAAATCCATCAAAGTCGTGATATCACATGCTTTTTCAGTTATCTTATATATTTTTTTAGAAAAAAATTTTTTTGGTGTGAATTAGTCCTTTATACGGGGTGCCCACTACGGATGGGATCAGCCGATCGCCCAACTTGATCGCCTCAAAAACTATCTGCCCGATCCGGCCGTAGTGGGCACCCCGTATTACTTCCCAGAGTTTCCAGTCTTCCGCAATTTTGCAGATTTCCGCAAATTAGCTGAATTCCGGCAATGGAAAAATTTTCATGAAAATTCGTGCCAAAAAATAAAATAATATTTTTAAAAATATATTTTTAAATGCGAGAAAAAAAAATTCCGTATTTACTAATAGTCAACAATAACCACAGAATGCTACACTTATAGAACGGGAACTGTACCACGTGACCTGTGAGGAATTGAAGACCGAAAACAATGGCGTCTTGAGGGCACGATTTATCATTTTCGGAAGTAACCATATAGCTTTTAAAGCAATAGCGGCTTTTACAAACGAGTGAAAAGTGGAACATTTACTGTCCAGTTTGTAATTTTGAGTTACAGAATTCACTGTGCAACTAGAGATTAGAATTAAGGTTTTAAATTGTTGTGTTTTTGGGTGCAACAACAGAAACAGCAGACATAGAGAGTTTATAAATATAAGATCTACAGAGCTGTGAAAAAAATCGTAACACGGATGGGATTGTTCACAGCACTTCTAGCTTCCCACACACATTTTGCCCACGCATATGGCCTACGTAATTTTTTAGTAGCAAAACTTGTTACAAGAAATTTGTTTTACACTGAACATATTTTTTCACTACATCTAATTAATGTTCTCAAAAAGTGCGTTCAATAATTAACTTTATGTCGCCAGCAGAAGTAGAAAAAAGGACGGACTTGCTTTTAAAAGAGATTTAGCTCCAGCTATAAACTTTTTAAAAATCTGTAGAAACCATTGACTGGGATTTTATTTTTTTTATTGGGCTTGTATGTATTAAAGAATTTTCTTTAAAGAAATTTCTACAATAATATAGAACTTATAGATATGTGCAAATGTTTGAAAAAAAATACTCATCGGTTAAGACGAATTGATATAGATCTAAGTCATTATGTAAAAGTAGGAGAATCTAGACCTAGGTGTTTGATAGTTCAGTAGCCTAGATATTTGATAATAAGTTGCGCATCAAATTTTTGACCGCATGCTACAGTAGTAGAGATAGCGTATTATTTTCATCCGAAACATTAATTTCCACATCCATACACCTTTTTGGGCCTTTATAAGCACATGTAGTCCTACTTTAATTATATGTTACTTTCATAATTGTTTTTGAAAGCATTTTCAATTCCTTTCACTTCCCACGCGTGGGCTCATATAATTATGATTATAATTTAAGATTCCAAATCTGACGAATGTATTATTAAATAGCGTATAATGCTGAGTTAGCAAATGCATTGCAATGCGCGCTATTATCAATTATTGAATTGTAACTAGACTTCAATTTGATCCGTAACAGGAGACCACTTTTTTTTTTATACGTGTTCATGAATGTGTGTTTGTTTACTGTGTGCGGGGATTAAAAATTAAAGATTAAAGATTCCAGATCTGACGAATGTATTTATAAAATAGCGTAATAGTGCTGGGTTAGCCGATGCCTTGCGATACACGCTTTTATCAATTAATTGAATTGTAACAGGACTTCGATTTGATCCGTAACAAGACAACACTTATTTTTTCTTGTATATAGATGTTCAAAAATGTGTGTTTGTTTACTGTGTGCGGGGATTAAAAATTAAAGATTAAAGATTCCAGATCTGACGAATGTATTTATAAAATAGCGTAATAGTGCTGGGTTAGCCGATGCCTTGCGATACACGCTTTTATCAATTAATTGAATTGTAACAGGACTTCGATTTGATCCGTAACAAGACAACACTTATTTTTTCTTATATATATACGTGTTCAAAAATGTGTGTTTGTTTACTGTGTGCGGGGATTAAAAATTAAAGATTAAAGATTCCAGATCTGACGAATGTATTTATAAAATAGCGTAATAGTGCTGGGTTAGCCGATGCCTTGCGATACACGCTTTTATCAATTAATTGAATTGTAACAGGACTTCGATTTGATCCGTAACAAGACAACACTTATTTTTTCTTATATATATGTGTTCAAAAATGTGTGTTTGTTTACTGTGTGCGGGCATTAAAGATTCCAGGTCTGACAAATGTATTTATTAAATAGCATAGTCCTATAGGGCAGGGGGTGACCAACGCATTGCGATACGCACTTTTATCAATTAATCGAATTGAAACAGGACTTCAATTTGATCCGTAACAAGAGACCACTTATTTTTTCTTATTCGTGTTCAAAAATATGTGTTTGTTTACTGTGTGCGGGGATTACAGGGGGACAAGCCCATCCCCTCGACATGTGATCCAGGGTATGGGGATACATTTTTCTCAAAATGCACACAGCTCTGAAATCCTTGACCAGTGATCACTCGCCATGGAACTCTTTCTATTGTGACTGTAGACACAAGTTTCTTCATTATCACATCTAAATGAGCCTATCATTCATGCATTAGAAATCACACTCTCAACACACAGAAAATGACTTTGAACATATATTCAGGAAACATATGCCAGTTTCACTCTTGTTTACTTTGTTTTGCATTATTGGCTTTTATGTGTTAGTGTAAACCAATATTTTGAGGCCTTTTCTGCATTTTTGTGTTTTTGGCAGCATGTACAATAGGCCTATAATGTATTTTATGTGCAACCGACACATTCTCCAATCTCTTGTATTTGTTAGACTCGCGCGTGCTTTAAACAAAGCATGTTAATGTTAATGTTGTTGTATGTGTACACACTACTGATGCAAACACAGAGATGAAATTTTAAAGTGAGAAATAATACCTTTCTTCAATATAAGCTCAATTTATTTATCTCTTTCTAGTAAATTGGAGAAAAGGCTTATATTGTTCTTTTTTGCTTGCTTTGGATGGCCTTAAGTTTAATGACAATATTATTGTAGTGAGCATGTTGCTGTCAGCGTCCCCTTATCGTAGATCTACTAGTACTAATCAAGACTAGATCTATATCTAGATATATTGCCAACAGAATTAATGTTCATAATTAGTGTTATTATCAAGTGTATTGTGATTGTGAAGATCTTTAATAGATCTAGATACCTAGAGATCTAGATCTAGACTAGATCTAGATCCCATCCCATCATTAAAAAAAAAAAAACCAACAATACAAATACAAAAACATTGTAACATTGCCAAATATGACATATTGTAGGCAATAAAAATGTACAAGACTATTTCTCTATATTTCCTCTTCGAAGAAAGTTTTAAAATACTGACGTAAGGTGTCTTCCAAGCCCTACAACTAGCATCAGCGTGCATAGCAACGCGAAGCCTCGCTGTGCGGCGCAGCCAAGGGTGCCCTCAACCGGCCGCCATGTTTTAGTTTCAATTCCTCACAGCGAATCGGCGATCGCGAAGAGGGAGTTCCGCTTCTATAAGTATAGAATTCTGTGACAATAACAAACCCATAACGGAAGTGCTCTTTTATTTGAAAGTGTAGACAGTGTCTTTTACTTTCACTTTCTATATCAAGCAGAGCGAGCACCAGCACTGTAAACAAGAGGAAGACGATTGTGGTTCAATAGATCTTGGGCCTGCCACAAAAAGAAAACTCTGAAGAGAGCTTGATTTTTTCATCAGACTTGTTTATTCATCAGCCTACATTGTGGTGGATTTAAGTTGAATATAAGGTTTCAAGCTATTTAGATCTAGATCTAGATTCTAGCTGTTATTATAGGCCTACTATTATAAAAGGATTCTACACATTATATGGTACAAACCAACACATGCAGAAAAAAAGTTGAACAGTAACTGCCAAGTTTTATAGATCTAGCTGTTATATTTCTGTTGTGGATGTACAGTATCAGTACAAGGAAGAAAGCATGGCTTTGAATTTATGTGGATTAACACAACAGAAAATTGTGTATGCAAGGTATATTTTTCTCTCTCTTATTTTCTTGTTAAATTTAGGCTTGAATAGCCAGAAATGACCCACATAGGATGCCCTGAAACCAAAAAGTCTCAAACGTAAGGGGGACGGCGTCCCCCTCCAACCAGCTGCCCTGGACCCGAAAATCCTTGAAAAATGACATCAGCTGCTGGAAGCTCTGACTTCCCCAACTCGAAGTCAGGTACCCATTACAAGACGGATGGGCAGGAGGGGGCGAAAAAAGAATCTGTAGCTGAACCGAGGCTCAAACCTGGACTTTCTGCTTTGGAGACAAGCGCACTAACCACTCCGCTACCACGCCACTGTAAGCTACAGGGTTTAAGAATACTGCAAATAGTGCTTTGCGGTCGTGTTGCCGCCGTGAACGACAATAAAGTGGGAATCCCTCAATGACGCCAAACAAGTTGGCTGTTACTATAAATATCGGCCAATGGTGTACATCTGTGGTTCTCAAGTTATCCGCATCTGTCTGCTACTCTCATCGACTCCACCCCTACCACCTGTTGCAGTTCCAAGGCTATGTTGTCTGGAAAGCCGGTGACAAAAGCCAATTTCACCAGCCCCTCTCCTGAGAACCCACAAGTCCTGCCTACCCTCCGCTACTCATTGGTGTACGTCCACCGGTTCCACGGTCCACCTCGTCTCACGTCGTTTTGTGAAACCAACGAATTGGTTCTCGCAAAATGCTTCCTTCAAGTTCTTCTTGATGAGCTTTACGCTTCCCTTCTCTTCTTCGGTCATCTCTAGATACACAGCTAGAGCTCCCCCCTCCAGGTAAAATGGGATAAAACTGGCCACGTCTTCAATGTGAGTCAGTTTAGCCACTAATTCCACCTTCTGCTACCAAGCCTCAGCGTCCCCCTCCCCAACAAACGGTTTGAGCACATCACCATTTTTGACCTGCTAGCCATCACCACAAAACCCCTAAATCTGGACTACCTCAACTAGATCTAAATCCAGGCCTAGATTCTAGGTCTAGCTTAGCCTAAGGTCTTAATGATCACGATCCTGCCTGGCTCCATGCCACACGTCAAATGGAAGCCAAAATAGCTTGTAATGAGATAATAAATGCTATATCTAATCCTAGATTCTACTCTTTAGTCTATCTACATTGTTTTCAATACTCAGTTTCGAACAGGGAACGATGTGTGTGGGTCTTACAGATCCGGAGCTCCGTCCACTGCATCGACCCACCATTAGCGTCGATGCCTGCTCAGCCTAAATTTAAATCGCGGCTCGGAAGGCCGGTTCTACTTTCGCAACTATTTATTTATACCCCCCGTGCACCCTTATTCTCCAACACTCACTAGGCTAAACTCAGTTTGTCCACTCATTTCTCATGCTTTTTAGCGGCTTGCGAGGTTATCGCAGCGAATTAGACCACAGAAATCTAGATTCTATCTACCATCTAGGCCTAGTTTGCAACAGTTTATAGTGCCAAAAAAAGTATTCCTGGCAGGTGGTCTGCTAATCTTCAATTCTTTTCCTGTTGCATTGCACAATTACAATTAGATCTATAAGCTATCCCTACCAAAGATAGCACATACAAGATTGTTCACTCAGCCCGAAAAGTGTTCGCAGAAGTCCGTACATTGCTTCAAATGGCGCTGGAGTCTTTATTTTGAAGCTCTCTTTTGCTTCTCCAGAAAAAGAATAGGATAAGCACAGTCTGTTAATTTCCAATTTCATTTTTATTGTTTTGCAAAGTCCACACTTTTTCCTCCATATTTTGAGGACTCTTTTAATTGGCACAAAGAGAGGAGTGAACTATCTTGTTATGCATGATCTTTGTCCCTATGCGATGAGGGGGAAAAAATGAGGAAATGCTAGGCCCAACTAATTTCTTTTGAAACGCCCTGTGCCTATAAAAATTTTGTAGTATTCACTCCCTCTATGCGAGTATAATTTCATGGCATTCACACAACCTGTGTGAATAACATTTCATAGTATAGTATTCACACAGTATTCTTTCACTTTCACACACCTCGTGCGAATAAAATTTCATAGTATTAACACAGTCACGGCTGTTAGAAAGCGGTACTTTAGTTCGCAGGCAGCCAGCGCGCCGCACCTTGTAATCTGACCCCGGTCACCGGGTCATGAACTCGTGGCCAGGGGAATTCCCCGTGTCCCGCTAACAGCATTGTTCCTTTCATTTTTAGGACAATTAAACTCGCAAAATACGCCGATCGGTGATTTTATCGTCATTTTATTTTGCCTGTTTGGAACAAGGGGGAACTTCTGTACTTACTGTATGAAATAACGATAAATGTATATAGCGCTCCAAAAATGGCTCATATTTTACCATTGCCCTTTGGCATGAATATTTTTAAATCTAAATTCCAATCAAACAAAATTTAATCAACCCTTCAATTTCAAATTAAAATACACCAGAAATGGTCAAATATCAAAACTCACTTTGCTGTTTTTGAGCGAAGTCCATTGTTTTGGAGTAGTGAAGAGTTGATTGCAGTATCACCTTTTTTTCTTTGTCGGAGGCACGTTGGATATTAGTTTTGGATTTGACATGACGGGTTAAGATTGCATGACAACTTTCAGCTGTTGTTCGATATTACGTATCCCAGCTCCTCTTCTCTCCAGCTTTGCTACAGAAGCATGGATAAGTACACCACCCTGTTTCCCATGTAAAGCCAAACCAAACCCATATGCTTGTATCCACGGGATGCAATGGTTTTCGAGAATGTGGTGTTTGGGAAGTACCTTTTCACTAAAGTGTCTCCTGTAGAATGACATGTACGTTTTGATGCATGTTGTCAAAGTGTGGTAGTCCGTCTTTTGACACTGGTTGGCCGTGTGAGATGTGAATGTGAACGTCCCGAAACGCGTTGTTTAAATGATTGAATTTTTCTATGAGAGTGTAAGCGGTGTCAATTATGTTTTGGTTGTGGGTGTTTTCTACTGTTTCTTTTACAATAAATGCAGTGAGGTCTTTATAAACGCGACTCATGATGTATTTGTGGCAGTGATTGCCAATGAAAGAGCGGCCGTGATATGCCTGCGGTGTGATGTTGTGCGAGTCAAGTGTGCTGTCTAAATGGGAACAGATAGGGCCAGTCCTAGGGTTAGGGGGTTCGTGCTCTAACTCCGACAACCTGTCTTCTTTCTCCGTCTGTTGTTTTTGAAAGTTAATTTTCTCCTGTTCAGAGTGAGAAAGTACATCGCAACCTTCTAAATGTCTAACCTCCCCATTTAGTTCCTCCCCACAACTCCATATGTCTTATCTTGTCCACGCAAGCTTTACAGATGGTTTTTTAATGTGCTGTCTGTGAGTCCATTGTAATGCTAACACCTAAGGCAAACAGAGTGTCCGACGCAAATTTAGAACACTGCAGGGGTCGTCTTTTCTGTGCCTTCTGCTTGACTGCCAGTGTTCTGCCACCACAAGTTCTGAAACGTTCGTGCAGCTTTTGAAAAAGCGAATCCTCTGTAGGTTTCTCCATTTCTTAAATGGGCTAAAATATTCCAAAAAAGCGATGAGAAGTGTTGGAAAAATAACGAGTTATTTAAGAAGAAAAATGAAAGATCACATGCGAGTGAATCACAGGGTAGGGGGTACCCTTTTTTTAAAAATCGTATAAAATCACACATTCGCTTCCCACAAATAACATTTGCTCACACGGTTCAAATATTGCTGTTTCAAGTGAAGCAGAGAAATCTGAGTGAAAAATCTGAGTTTGGCTTCTGAGATAATAAACTCCAAAATGGAATGTAATTTAAAATGCAACATTAGATGAACAAAACACTTGTACTGCAAAATGCGTAACTGCTATAACACCAGTGAGATTTCCGGAGCGAAAGTCATTCAAAGAGGGATCGTCTTGTTAGTCTTAAGATGATCTTTAATATGAGATGATAAACAGGCTTCTAGGTTTATCAGATCAGGAGAAATAACGAGGGAAAGTGATACGAAAATTACCAGAACCGAGTTACACAGGCACAGCGGCGGGCATCGCTATCGTCACGGTTGTTAAGCACGGGAGTGGCCGACTGACACTGATTTATTACCTTCACCCGCGAGGTCAGACTGGGGCTCGGCCACCAAGTAAAGTACCACTTTCAGTCGCATTTTAACAGCCATGCAGTATTCACGCGATAGTTACCGCGTACATCTATGATTCACACACCCTGTGCGAATAAAATTTCATAGTATTAACACAGTATTCACGCGATAGTTACCACGTACATCTATGGTTCACACACCCTGTGCGAATAAAATTTCATAATATTCGCACACCCTGTGCGATTACAATTCCATAGTATTCACACACCCTGTGCGAATAACTACAGCCATTAGAGTGTTACTGCTATTCTAATTCGCCTTTCACTAGTTTGTTTATATCATCATCTTAGTCTTAAACTATGGAAGGTGCTAACAAAACTTCTTACTACAAGGGCTGTCCCACAGAAAATCGGAATTTGGCTGTAATTTGAAAACTATTCAATATTTTCACATTTTGTAAGCGCACACTTGTAAAACAATCATTTAGAAATTTCCCGATTGACCACCATGAGCATCGAACAAACCAAACGAACACAGCAGTTCTCCAAAGATGGCTACCCCTTGGAAAATTGGTCAAGGGTAGAAGTGAGGTCTGTCATTCGGTTTCTGACCGCAAAATGTCTCAAACCTATAAAAATACACACTGAAATAAAGTCAGTTTACGGGGAGAAAGTAATAGCAAAGTCACAGGTATATGAGTGGTGTAGTAAGTTCAGAGCCGGGCATACGGATGTCAATGACAAAGTTCACCCAAGACCTTGTTTTTCTGCCAAGACTGAGGACAACAAGAGTCATGCAGCGAACTCATTTAAACAGACAGGCGCATAAAAATTCGCGAAATTTCAGAGCCGCAAAATATTTCAAAGTCGACTGTCCAAATAGTGTTTGATGAGCTAGCTGCACTGTCGAAAGGTCTCTGCTCGATAGGTCCCAAAAGAGCTGACAGCTGACCACTAGACGCAACGTGTTAAAATGTCTCAGACTTTTTTGAATCGTTGTTGCCAAGCTGTCACGGAAATCATGAACGCATCTGGAGACCTCCAACAATACGATGAAGCATTCCTGAGAAGCATTACTACAGGTGATGAGACTTGAATACACCACATGACCCCTGAAACGAAGAGGGATTCAATGGTTTGGAGGCAAACGTCTTCACCTACCGGGAAAAAGTTTAAAGTTCAGCCATTGGTGAAGAAACTTATTGCCACGGTTTTCTGGGATGCTAAGGATGTTCTGCTTCTTGACGTTTTGGAACCAGGACAAACTGTTAATGCTAATAGATACTGACAGACTTTTGATACGTTTAGAGAAGTTATGCGCCAAAAAAAAACAGGCCGGTTGTCCAGCGGGGTCATTTTGCAGCATGACAACGCAACGCCACACACCGCAAACGTTATGAAAGACTGGATCCAGAGGTGCGGCTGAAAGGTTTTGCCACACCCCCCTCACAGTCCTGACTTGGCCCCGTCAGACTATCACCTTTTTGGTCCATATTTCTGGACTGTGATTCACCAACGACGAAGACCTCTTGGAAGCCGTAAAAGATTGGTTGAAATCCCTTGATGTAAAATTCTTCAGGGAGGGTATCTTCTCCCTGATCCAGCGATGGGAAAAATGCGTCCAGCGGGATGGTGATTACATTGAGAAATAAAGCACATGTTGAGGTATGATATAATGTTACATTTTTATTATAATAGGACAAAGATTGTTGCTTTTATGGACCTTTTCCGGTTTTCCGTGGGACAGCCCTGGTAGATCTAGATCTAGAATCTTGATCTCTACAATCTAACTATTGTTTTTTCTCAGTCACAGCAAGTGAGCAAGTAGTAGTTGCTTCTAGTAGTAGTACAATGCAAAGCAGACAGGCAGACATTGAAATTCAGCTGCACTGCCTTGCCATGGCCATAGTCGTGTCCATAAAGTCTGAAATGAGATGGCTGCATGCGAGATCTAGATCTAGTAAGCATTCAGGAATACAATTTCACAGTGTCTGTTTGGACACGATCCTTTCAACAATTTATTGCATGTCGATATGTACGCCGAGAGACGAAACAATCACGATTAGTTTTCATCATTCTATTGCCTAAAGTAAAAAATAGAAATGTAGGGCCTTGAATAGAATGCAATTTTATGCAAACTGGGAAAATGCATTGGCCCAAAAAGAAAGAGCATTCTCAAAGAGAAAAAGACCCACAATATGTACAGTACACTCTCATTCATGCTAAGGTAGAAGGACACATGTGTCCGAATCGAGGCGGTCATAAAACCGCCTAGGTCGAAAACATACATGATGGGAGCTTAAACGGACATTTGGACTCAAATATCCAGTGCGCGTGCGCAATCACCGGTTGTACCGTAAGCGATTTCTATACTCGAGTCCAAATAGTCTCTCGTTGCTATTCGGACTTTAAACTACTGTTACACTGCGTTTCACGACTACAAAGGGATCAAAACATAAAATTCATAATCAGTCTTATAAGACAGCCCCCTTTTTCTCTCTCTCTCTCTCTCTCTCTCTCTCTCTCTCTCTCTCTCTCTCTCTCTCTCTCTCTCTCTCTCTCTCTCTCCATCTTACTTCCCTAAGCCCGCCCCACCACCTTCACCCCTTTTTTTGCATTAATATAGATCTATATTCCCTCCCATACCGTTGCCCACTTCCCAGCCCTTCTATTTTATTATCCTTTTTAAGGAAAAGACCACAGTTCGCACTGGGTCACCACTCGACATCCCCATTTGTTGTAAGTTCCTTGGCCAGATCATAGAAACCAAGGAAGACAAGGTCGAATTTCTTGTCTGCTTCACATTCTGTACACCTAGTGATTGCGCACTCTCTGTGGAGTTTGAGTCGGAATAGCCTCGGCCTTATTTTATGTATATTCCTGTGCTGTTAGCTATCAACACATTGTCCTCATGTTTATCCTTAACAGCTCTGTAAAGTTTGATGTGCAATTGATTGTTTAAAACTGTTTAAGCCTTCTTTTCTCATTTCCTGTTTCCATTACAGGTAGTTATGGATGAGAAACCTGTGAAGATCGACAAGTGGGATTCAGGTGCCCTGAAGAATGCCTTAGATGATGGAGCGAAAAAGGTACAGATCTAACAGTGTGTTTATAGTCAGGCCTATTTCTTTTTTTTTTTTTATGTGATATATATATATAGTACAGTAGACTGCATTTTTATTATTTTGATTTCTTAATTGTTATTGGGTTTCAGCGGAGACAAAAAAGTAGAGACGCGTCACTCCTCGATTTAGGCGAGATTGGGGTCAGGCATCCGTTGAAAGTTTCACGCCGCACAACTAATAGTCTGTTCCTCACAACCGAGAAATCGCCTTATTGTTTTCATTGTAAATTAAGCAAGGGGGTTTGTCTGAATGGGTTTTAAACACCATTTGTCTTTCTTTACCGTCACGTCATACCCTCATCCACACATGAAAGATGGAGTCAGAACGTTCTAGTAATTCTAGTCAATATTTTGATTAAAATTTCAAAACATACCTTACTGCATGTTTCCTCTCGGTCGGTACAATTATTGACCATGTACCCTCTCCTTATTCCTGGCCCGCATCTCATTGCATTAGTGAGCACAATACGCCAAATCTTTTCTATTCTTCTTCTTCTACTCCTTTTTCTTTGTCATTTTCTTCTTGTTCTTGTTTTTCTTCTTGCTCTTGTTTTTCTTCTTGCTCTTGTTTTTCTTCTTGCTCTTGTTTTTCTTATTCTTCTTCTTCTTCTTCTTCTTTTTTTTCTTCTTCTTCTTCTTCTTTTTCTTCTTCTTCTTCTTCTTCTTCTTCTTCTTCTTCTTCTTCTTCTTCTTCTTCTTCTTCTTCTTCTTCTTCTTCTTCTTCTTCTTCTTCTTCTTCTTCTTCTTTTTCTTCTCCTTCCTCTTCTTCTTCCCCTTTCTTCTTCCCCTTTCTTCTTCTTCTTCTTCTTCTTCTTCTTCTTCTTCTTCTTCTTCTTCTTCTTCTTCTTCTTCTTCTTCTTCTTCTTCTTCTTTTTCTTTTTCTTCTTCTTCTTCTTCTTCTTCTTCTTCTTCTTCTTTTTCTTCTTCTTCTTCTTCTTCTTCTTTTCTTCTTCGTGGGTGGTTGGCGTGTGCTCTTGTGTGGTTTACTCCTTCTTTCCTATCCAAGCACCTATGGTCCTTATCTCTCCTAAAATAATAGAAAACTTTTTATTTCAAAATAACCAAAATAACATCTGTCTCTTAAATTATAAATCCCCAACTTACAGAAACAGAGCCACTTATGGCACTTCATCCCTTGACCTCACTTTTTGTACCCCTGACCTAGTCCCAGATCTTGAGTGGTCTGTGCTGGATGACCGTACGGACCATTTCCCAATTCTCCTAAAAAACAATAGCCCCCAAAACGACCCGATCCCAGAACGCTTCAACTTCAAAAAAGCAGACTGGGACGGGTTTGCCAATCAATGTTCCCAGATTCTTAATCCCAATTTCGACCACAACTACAATAAATTCCACGAAAAGCTCTTAGAAATATGCCACAATCACATTCCAAAAACAAAAAGAAAAACCCCGGAGGAACAAGATCTGGTTCTCTTGGGAGTGTGAGGACGCAGTAAAGAAAAAGAAGGCAGCGTATCGAAAAGCCGTCAACAACACCACCATAGAAAACAAGATAAATTATTTAAAGGCTCGAGCTGTGGCACATAGATGCCTCAGGGAGAGCAAAAGACAATCATTCCAAAAATACATCTCCAAAATCAACAGCCAGACACCACTCAACCAAGTTTTCAAAATTGCTAAAAAAATTCTTGGGTAGACGCACAGACACCATTCGGCACGTCCAGAGGCTGGATGGAACAACAGCTGAAACACAAGTAGACATTGCAAACACAATAGCTACATCTCTAGCCAAAAACTCATCCCAAGCAAACTACAACACCACTTTTCAAAACATCAAAACTAACAGAGAAAAACAACACCTAAACTTCCACTCAAACAACACTGAAACCTACAACGCAGACTTCACAATAGACGAACTAACATCTTGCATCTCGGACCTGGGCGATACAGCCCCGGGACCGGATGACATCCACAACCAAATCATTAGACACTTACCCCCAGAAACACTCACACTCCTACTATACATATACAACGACATGTGGCGGTCGCACTCCTTTCCGGAGTCTTGGCGTCTCGCCACTGTCATTCCAATACCCAAACCAAACAAGGACCACACACACGCATCCAATTACAGACCAATAGCACTAACGAGCTGTCTCTGCAAACTAATTGAAAAAATGATTCACAGGCGACTCATGTGGTTTCTGGAAACGACGGGCTCGCTGAGCGGTCTCCAGTGCGGATTCAGGAAAACTCGATCCACTCTGGATCACCTGGTCCGCCTGGAGACCTTTATACGCAAGACGTTCGCTGAAAGAGGCCACATGATCGCCATCTTTTTTGACCTAGAAAAAGCCTTCGACACAACCTGGAAGTACGGCATTCTTTGAGACCTGCACGCACTCGGCATATGCGGTCACCTCCCTGCCTTCATTGGCAACTTCCTGAAGAACCGTTCCTTCCAGGTTCGTGTCGGATCCTCCCTTTCAGACCCCCACCAACAGGAGGAAGGAGTCCCCCAGGGGAGCATCCTTTCTCCTCTCCTATTCGAAATTAAAATAAATTCCATAGTGAAAACCCTCCAAAACAGCATAGACAGCTCGTTATACGTTGACGACTTCTTGATATGCTGCCGATCGAAAAATCCTCATTTGAGATCTATGGAAAGGCAGCTGCAAACGCAGCTGCACAAACTTGAAACGTGGGCAAACAACAACGGTTTCAAGTTCTCCCCGTCAAAGACGGTTGCAGTGCACTTCTGCCGAACAGGCAGACGTGTGCTGCAGCCGGATTTGACACTATACAGGGAAAGGATTCCCGTCCAGGACCAAGCTCGTTTCCTCGGCGTCATTTTCGACAAAAAACTCACATTCATACCACACATCAAAGACCTTCGTGTGAGGTGCCAGAAAGCGTTAAACGCTTTGAAAATTCTATCGAATCCGGAGTGGGGCGGGGACTCAAAACACTTTCTCCACCTGTACATCTCCCTTGTCCGTTCCAGGCTTGACTACGGCTGTCAAGTCAACGGATCGGCAAAACCACACATATTAAAAATGCTAGACCCAATACAGAACCAAGGACTCCGCCTCGCTCTGGGGGCTTTCCGCACTTCTCCGGTGGAGAGCCTCCAGGCCGAGGCCAACGTACCACCACTCTCACTCAGACGCACACAACTCTCACTACAATACGCAGTTAAACAGAGCTCAACACCGGAAAATCCAGCGCACAACAGCATTTTTCAAACAAATCCAGAAACCAGAAACAGATTCCAAAACAACGAAAAACTCATCAAACCTTTCGGCCTCAGAATCCTTGAGGACCTCAAAAACTTACACTTTTCCAAACAAGACATCCAACAAATACTTTTCCCCGACCTCCCTCCGTGGCACCTCACCAAGGCAAAAGTAGATTTACAGCTGACCACACACAACAAAGAGAGCACAAACACCAAAACTTTTCAAACAGAATACAAAAAACTAATAGATAAATACCCCGGTGCGGAGCTCATCTTCACGGATGGCTCCAAAAAAGACAATGAAGTGGGCGCCGCAGCCCTATCTCCCAACAATACACACCAGAGGAGACTCCATCCTGAAGCCTCCATTTTCACTGCGGAGGCCACTGCCATTGACATGGCACTGGACTCTGTAGAAAATTCTCCTAACAAATCTTTCCTTATCCTTTCTGACTCTGTCTTGCATCACCTCACTCACAAACTACACACTCTTACACCCAAAAATAGTTAGGCTACAACAGAAAATCCATACACTATCCGAAACAGGAAAAAACATCATGTTCGCATGGATACCCAGCCATGTGGGCATCCGAGGAAACGAGCAGGTAGACGACCTGGCGAAGAAAGCTTCATCCCTTCTGCTGGGATCAACGACAAACACTCTCCCACAGACTGACTTTAGAAATAAAGTCAAAAAGTACACCTCCAGTCTGTGGGAGAGCCACTGGGAAAACCAGAAAAATAATAAATTATATGAAATTAAACCCAAACTAGAACAGCAAAATCCTTCGGATCTCTCCAGAAGAGACGAAGTCATTTTTACTCGATTGCGCATCGGACACACGGCCCTGACCCACAAATACCTCCTACAGGGAGATGAGAAGCCGTTCTGTGTCGGATGCGACACAGATTTTACCATTAGACACATTTTAACAGAATGTCTAGATTTTGGAGAGATCCGAAGGAAATATTATAAATGCAAGAAATTGCAGGATATTTTATGGCGAGTTGTAGAGTGAATTTGATATTATTAAAAAATTTTATTGTTACTTAAAAGTTGATTTAGATTACAAATGTATTTACACCGAATTTTAATATTTTAACTTTTTAGCATTTTAAAGTAAATTAGTTAGCCAGTCGTGAAGTGAACATTCGCAGAGGTGAACAACTTGTGTTTCCCGCGCTCATATGACCTTAGCAGTTGCGAGCGCCGTAAAACCTTATACTATACATACATACATCTCTCCTCCTCTTGTTTTATGTATGTAACTCTCTTGTAACGCATCTATTCTTCAACACTTATATGACCTTATTGTTGCAATGCAGCATTAACAAGTGACGTAAAACTCTTACTAAAACTATTTTTTTTAAACTCTTCTTCCTCTTCCTTCACTGGAGCATAAATTTGATGAATTGATTAATTATGCGCACATTTATTTACCAACTTCACCATACACTACTACTTCCGACATGTTGACTGAGATGACTCCTCGCTCCTTCTGTCCCTATAGGAAATAACAAGGGGAAGTGACTTTGAGAGGAACAGACTATGAAATGTACGGCGTGACATAGTTTTGAATCGCTGCGTCACCGATTTCGCGTAAATAACATGATGCGAAGAGGGGCCAGCTGACGAGTGAAATATCTCTCACTAGTCATCTCCGGTTTCAGATAGTCTTTTTACGGTCAAAAGGGTGGATGAAGAGAAAAAAAAATTCCCGTAGAATCATATGAAAGTTAATAAAGGATTGACAGGATTTTGATAT